CACCGCCTGCAGTTCCTCTCGCACGTAGACAAAGCCAGCTTAGAACCACAACGCAATCGCGCCATAGAAGCAATTCAGCACAAGAAAGTTCACATCAAGCAAACGTCACAGAAAATCAAACCCAGACACAGAAGATGCCACCTCCACCTCCACCAACCCGACGCCACGCCGCTTCTCTAAGCAACAGCACCAATCCCTCTACTACAGACCTGCCCTCGACGACCGACGGATCTCATAGCCCAGCAGGCAGAATACCAAGTGGAGGATCCCTCGCCCAAGCTCTTTCCGGTGCCCAGAATCTCGCAGGCTCACGCCATTCGTCTTCAACAAGCTTAACCACCCCACCACCACCTCCGCCACCGCGGCGCAGGGCAAGCTCTGGTCGCGGGAGCCTCGACATGCCGCGTCCATCATCTCTCGAACTCGCTCGGGGCAGCTTCGACAGTGGGCGCAGGAGCAGCGCCGCTTCAAGTCTCACGAGTCCGCGCAAGGAGAGCGGAAGCTACAAATTCAGCGAAGGTGATTTGGCAGAAGAGCCCGAGGACATGAACAAATCGGACGGTGCCATCAAGGCTGCTGCTGCGCCACAGGCCAATATCCTCGCTGACATGGAAGCATTTCAGAGGGAGATTGACGCGCTGCGACAGGCTAGTGAGGGTCCGGGTAGCTCGCGTTGATGTCCCCAGCATACATTCGTAGAACTTTGAAGATGGAAACGCATAACGAGACCTTGGAACGGCCATTTCTTTCGTTGTATATATCGCATATTTGGGCGTTGGATAAGCCTCATAAGGCATGGAGACACCCTGGCGCATGGGAGATAAATGCGGGATTAACGAACTTGACGATCGCTCATGTTGGATCCGTAACATTCATTTGCACATTCATCAATTGATCATTGCCAATACCTGTAGGCCTCGTTACTCTACTCATCCCCCAGATCTTCCACCGACCTCCAGTTTCTCGAAGTATTTGCCCCCCATATCTTCTCCATCATCCTGCATCTGCCAAAGCAATTTCTCCGCTTCCGTCAAGTTGGGTCTGATTTCTATCTGTCTACAGCGAGTCTCGCCAAAGTCAAATGTAAGTATGCTTTCAGTCGTGCCGATGCTGCCGCGGTCTGGACTATCTCCCAGCACAGCTTTTACGCACGGATGACATCTCCAGACTCATACACGGCTTTTGCTTTCTCCAGACTGCGCTAGATGGCATCTTGCGCGTCTGCCTCTTTCGTGCATTGTCCCTTTGCATGGGGCGTGTGAGAAGACGAAAACACCTGCATCGCGAGTGAGTAATTGGATCCACAGACAAGTGTGGTTGCGGAGTAGTTGATCTTCAGCGAACGTAAACGAGAGAATCATTGGTACATGCATAAGAGCCATGGAGCAAGGGCCAGAGCATACACTTGTTTGTCTTAATGTACAAACGCCCTCATGATAACGGAAATATTCCGTGTGAGCCCAGAAACCCCGTGGCATCATCCTTGGGTATATGCAGCAGTGAAAGCAAAGGTCCGACTGAATCCAACGCCACAAAGCAATCATTATTCACAATCGCAGTTCTCTCAACTAGCAAACGTTCTGCTCCTGCCTCCTTGGTCGCTCTTCTGCCTCCTCCCAAGACCTTTCGGAGCATCCATAGCCTTCTTGTACGGATCGAAAGCTCCACTGCCTTTCTTCCCCCTCTTCGCACCGGTCCTGTCCTGGGCATCTCTGGCATGTAGCATTGACGGTGCAGTGCTGTAGTCGAACGGCGCTTCTTCTGCTACCTCATCGTCATCATAGGGCAGACCGCCAGAGCCCTTCTTCGACTTATTCCGCTTTTTCTTCTCCCTATTTTTCTCTTTACGAGAAAGCATCACTGGCTCTTGCTGCATTTCAGTCGGATGAATGCTGAGTTCATCTGCATTCGCATCGTACGCAGGGTTGTTGATGAAACTGCCATCTCCAGTAGCATCCGGTTCGTCTTCTGCGGCACCATACGAACCCGTGGCAGGATCGGCACCTCCATCCATGTTGGGGATCTCCACAGGATCCTCTGCCGGATTCGCGAAGACCTGTGCACTTAGATTTGGCAGCGGTAATGCGAGTCTAACGCGATCAGTTACCGCGGCTGCCGTGGTCGTCACCCCGTTCCAGGTATTAGCAGCACTGAATGTGGATCCCCAGAAATTCGAGGTCGTCGCCCTTACGTCCTCGACTTTTGGAGTCTCAAAGATCTTTGGGGCTTCGGAAAGAGTTGCCCTCGTTTGCTCGGTCTCTTGATGTTTGGCGGGGGCAAAAGCCTCATCATCCTCCCTCTTCCTCTTGCCAGCTATGCCCAGCACTTCGTACGGCTCTGGGCCGGTCTTCCCTTCCTCCTTGGCTTTTGCGATCACAGCGAGCAACTCATCCGCACGCATTCTCGTAGTTGATGATATATGAGGCAGCGCGGCAAATAAGGCCGCCTTATCAGACGGCATTGCTCTTGTCACCGCGAGGAGGTTGTGGTGTGGAATGATGAATCCTGTACTATCATCTTCTTCTCGAGCAACCTTATCTCTCCAGGCATGTAACGCACGGAAAACAGCAAACTGCTCCTTATCGCGCATTATAGATGAGCCGATCATGGCTTTTATGGCCTTCCTCCATCCGTACGGCCCATTGCCAGTTGCCTCTTCGTAGAAAGGATGTTCATAGCGTTGAAGACTCTCAAGTTTCGAATTCTCGAGGACATACTGAAGCCGGTCGTTGTTGGGAGTGGAACGATCGATGAGTTCGTTACGCATGTTGTCGTAAATATTGAGGAGAAAGTGCGTGTCACTTCGTGCATAGTCGAACAGTTCGCTCGGCAAGGGTCTGATTCTCCAGTCCGCCCTCTGATACTGCTTTTGCGCCTCGAAATTGGCAAACTTCAACAGCAGGTAGTCAAGCCCCCTGCGTTGGTAGCCTAGTGCACAGCAACCGTGATAAGTGTCAAACAGACCTACGACATAGAGGCCTAAATCACGCTGCAGCCAGATCATGTCCATGCTGCTTCCGTGAAAGACCTTAAGGATCTCGGGGTTAGCGAAAACTTCATTGAGCATCTCCAATTGTCGCCGCCAAGGCAGAAGTGTATCGATAACGTAGTCCTTCTCTCTGGTTGAGATCTGCATGAGGGAAGTCATCCCAATATAGCTCCGGTAGTCATGGTGCTCAAGGTCGACTGCTATCTCAGTCGCCTTTTTCAAGTCTTCCACCATCAGCTGTAGAGCCTCAATCGTGTCGACGAACGTGGCTGGGTTCGCATCGAAGTCGGTCGGCGGAATCGGAGTGGAGCGTGTGCGAACAACCGTAGGGTATGTGTATGCGTTGATCTCGGGTGCATATGGATGTGCATAACTGCTTGCAAATCTTAATATTTTTCTTTTCAATCCGGAACGTGCCCTCTTCGCGGCATTTTTGATTGCCGTCTCAGAGCGGGTCTCAGAGCATTCTGATAGACCCTCTTGTGTAAGTGGGGAAGAAGTAATGAAAATGCTGGTATCATACTGTTGTCGTTGCTCTTGAGTGTCCTCGTCTACGCTGCTTTGAAGTCGTAGACTATCTTCTAGTGGAACTATCGCGTGTGGCTTTGACGTAAGAAGTGGCTTGAACGGCGTCGTTTCATCATTTCTCGGTGGATGTTCGAATAGCAGCTGCGGCTTTGTGAGATTCCCCGTCTTGAAAAAATCGTATGGACTCCACTTCTTCTTCGACGGTACAGATGGCTGAACCTGCTCTCGGAGTATTAGCTTATCGTAGTTGCATATCCAACGCAATTGTATAATCGCCAGCCAAATCTCGATTGTCATCTACCTTGTTTTCCTCGGCAGGAACTTGTGTCTTTCCTCTTTTCACCACACCGGTGAACTCATCGAGAGTCGCATCAGCCTTCTCCAACAAGCCATCCACGACATCAACAATCTTATTCCAATTTTCTTCAATGGCATCTGCGACACCACTCTCCCCATCCACATTACTGCTCAATTTGATGCCCCTCTCACTTCCAGCATCGCTCTTTCCAGTCGCCCCGGCACTGGCACTGTCGATGAGTCTCTCTGCGAGGTTTAACAGTCTAGCACTTTGCCTGTCAAGACCCTCGCCGACTTTTGGATCAAGGGAGCGATGGAATGCGAGGTCCTCGGCGCAGAGCTCAGACACGGTGCGCGTCGTGGAAATAAGAGCGGAGGTAACTGCGGAGTGAAGTGAGGGTATATCGGGTGGTGACGCCATCCTTAAAGGATTCAGGTTGGCCTTTGTGTGTTAATTTTGTATGGAAGCCAGTGCGACCCATATCACACGTTTTGGGTCTATGGTGAAAGAGAAGAGACGAGTTGGAGGTCGAGTTGGAGGTCAAAGAAGTTGGGAACTTTTTCGATGCGCGAAATCTTGGCATTCAGTCCTCCCCGTCTACATACACCCCTGCTCCACCCATGTCTCCATTGTCAACCTTTGCAACATTACTTGATGCAACCTTATTACCATGTGCTTTCAGTATGGTCTAATATCCGATCGCCTCTCCATCTGTGTATCTTCTTGCGATTAAAGAATAAAACCACTCGCCGAGGTAATGCGCGGTCTATGTGTGCAAACTGAAAGTTGAGCGCCTATGTACATATAATTGAATTGAAGCTTAACCTCTATGCGTAGGCTAGAATCTAAGAAATCCATCAAAACCGAAGCAATGCTGGGCTGTGTAAGTTGCGGGTTAAGGTCCCGCAGATAATCTAATCGAAGCTCAACCTCCACGTGGAGACCGTAACGAAAGTTAAGTGCGCGAGTGGACTTGGTCAGTAATGCTAGATTTACTTGTGTAAAGAGCTGTTGAGTGTTCGTACGTAATCGAATTAAAGCTCGACTGCCATGGCTAACCTAGGAGCTGGGCGGGACCTTTAAACTGAGGCGATCTTGGGCCGTTCAGAGCAAAGGCAAGTGATTCTCAAATAAAAATTAATTCATTATATTATATACTTTATTCAGTTTCAGCCACATCAAATTGGTTCGATGGTGTAGTTGGTTATCACATCTGTCTAACAAGCCGCTTATCACGGTGCGTAGATCACAGAAGGTCGCCGGATCGAGCCCGGCTCGAATCAATTCATTCTTTTTTTTTTCTCCTTCGGATCCCTTTTAGGGGTGGATCCTTTTTTTTTTGGGGATGCGTCGACTCCCTTTTATTTTTTGAAAAGTATCACCTCGAGATAATACCTTGGAAGTATTACCCCCTCGAGCTCGCGAGAGGTCTCACTAACGAGCAAGGACTAGAGGGTTAACTCGACTGAGGAAAATCCGACAATGGATCGATCCTTTCACCTAACTGATTTCTTTACAAGTAGCGCACCCATCGTTCTACGATGCTATTGCCAAGCATGTTCATTGCGTTGGTTATATCCGCCTTCTTACCGACACACTGAGAGTTGTATGTCGGCAAGACAAGGTTGATTTGCAACCTAACATAATAAATCCATGACATATTACAGTTCGTGTTATGCAAAAAATAGGCACATAGCTGGTGCTTAAAACTGCAGATCTTCGTTTACAGAGGCTAACTTAGTGCAACTTAAAGACATGGTGCATGAGGGTGCAAACATTAGACCACCTCGACAAAGACATCTGTCATATCAGTGAGCAAGAACACCGCCACCATTGCATTGGAGTCTGCAGTATCTTTAGAGAAGGCCCAACATCAGAACCGAACTTGCCCCGAGAGCGTCGGGAAGACGAGCGCGCAGAGCAAATAACTACGCTTCTCGTGTTAGCAAGCTGATAAGTAGAAGTAGGTTTGAACCTGAGCGGAGTCTGCGCAAGGTATAGTACCCAATCTCATAAACTGCTTAGCGCTGTTCACCATTGAGACCGTTGGGATAAAAATCTCATACGCTGAGGTAGGACCGGCTGGGAGAGATGTCGATGGGTAATTTCGAAGTTGAAAAGGAATGATTGTCTTTCAACAACTCCATTCATATTAGAACATTGCTCCTCTAAGACCAGTATTATAATGCTACTGGGCCATTGTCGCTGATAGGCAAATCTATGGAATAAAATGATTAGCATTAGGAATGCTCCAATAATACATGAAGTCTAATCAGTCTGAAAATGATATTGGGCGGATAAGACTCTGTCAGAATCCAATCATCGCAGCGAACCCAACAGCGAACAATGCAACCAGTGAGCCTATAGTCCACCTCTCCAAGCCATTCGCCGCACCAAGCTGCCCTCCTCCAGCCGCTCCACCAATCTCGCCACCATCACCCCCATCACCCTGTGCGATAAAGCCATTGCCATTCCCAGAATCCGTATTCGCACTACTGCTTCCAGCGAATACAGTCGTACTATACTGTCCCCCATCATTCGTCCCATAAACCACGCAAGCTCCTACGAAACTCCCGCAACCTCCCGTACTCGCAGCGGTGACGGTCGTCGGAATCGTAGTAGTGGATGTAACGATCGTTCTAGGAGTTGTACTTGGGCTGCCGACGTACACCGTGGTCGTATAGGGTGCCGCACCGCCATGGCCGCCGCCGTACACAACGCAGGCCCCGACGAAGTTGTTGCACGCGTCGCCTGCATGCGAGAGTGTATGCTGGTCTCCATCGACGTGCACGGTAGTGGTAGAGTATACGGAGACGACGGAGGTTATCGTCGTTTGGCCCGTCGCGAGGGAGAAGATTGCCAGGACGCTCAGAAGAGAGAGCAGCATTTTGAAGCTGAAGCCTTGATGGCTATTGGCCGCTCTGATGGGTTCGGGGATTGTAGTGCGCGGTGAGCAGCGCAAAAGTCGTCGCTACCTTCTCATGGTCTGCGCTCGATGGAGGGACTGGCCGAGATGCGAAGTGAAGGCACTCTCGGAGGCTTATAGTAGATATACAGCGAGACAGCGTGGGAGCTGTCGTCACTGACAGCCATGCTTGAGGCGCAGGTGTACGATGGGGGAGGGAGTCGATTGGCCATCGGGAGTTGAGATGCGAGGATGGGATGAAACGCCGACGTCACAGTGCAGGAGCGACCCCACGTGCATCCATGTGTTCGTGCATGGGCCATATAGACAGGCCTATCCCCCTTACGGCCAGAAATGGCCGCCAAATGCCAAGCCTCCTAAACAGGGGGCTCTTCGGTACCTTAAGTACCCTAGGGATCGGTACTACAGGTACTATACGTACCTAGAATATAGAAAAAGAGTAACTAGAGTAAGGTATTCATAAATACACTAATTACTTTAGTAAATACTAAGAAATAGTAGTATCTAGTTAGAATTAAGTTTATACCTAAATTCGTTGTATATATTAACTTTCAGGTCTTGATACACCCATTTCTAGGTGGGCTTGGCATTTGGCGGCCATTTCTGGCCGTAAGGGGGATAACAAGGGTAGAACGTTATAATTCACGCTTCAATATATATATCAGCAGATATGAGAAGGAGAAGTAGAACCAATTCCTATCCCTTTTGCGTCAAGTCGAAAATGGGGTCTAAAAATCAGCATAAAGTTTTATCTGGACCATGCGCCATATTTCAAGGTTTCTCCTGCCATTAATATGATATCCTTTAGAGCAAACCCGAAATATCTCTAGCAATATCCAGAGATTATCATAGAGAACACATCTCTAATCAGTCAAGTTCGCTTTCTCTCAAAGATTGGCTCATCTCCACGATTTCGTCCTGCGCATCTGCCCCCGCCTCACTCATATCGTTTCGACTCGGGGTTTCTTGTTCTTGTACCTCCTCACTTGGGTCATAATAACTCCCCCAAGCCACCTTCCAAATCCATACCCAGCTCACAGGATGGTGAGCAGTACTCCCCACAAAGCCGAACGGGGTAAGAGCGCCATACCAGACGTACTCGATCCTGTCTGGGCCGGCTGTGAGCTGGATCACAGCAGTGCCTCGGTCAATCCTGACCATTGCTTGGATCTCGCGCCGGCCATATACTTCGCTAGACTGCAATTTCACATAGCCGGGAACCGGGTATTCAGAACAGTCTGAAAACGTGAATTGCTGAAGCGGTCGGAATGGAGATTCCAGCAGCTCCTCCGTTGCGATATAAACTCCGGTCCACTCGCCGTCTTCGAGAAACTCTTTAGATGTCATGGTCTCCAAGTGGCAGGTATTGAATCTGGCAACGCAGTCTCCTGAGAACGGCGTCGGCAGCTTCATGAACGCGTGGAAAGGGAAATCAAAACTTGACGTGGGTAACGATAGCGAGCGTTTACCAAGGAAGTCTTTCGCTCGAAGCTGCACGACCATCAGCCCAAGCGCTTTCAGAACAGCAGCATGGGTTACATCACGTTCACGATCGTCCTCAGCCCAAGGTTGGTTCAGTATACCGCTATAGGCCATGATTGGGTGCATCTCATCGAGGTGTGTTGTGTTTGGGTCAAGCGGGTGCGCTCGCCCAAGGACGGCAGCGTAGATGAGCTCAATGCTCAACTTACGGTTGGAGTTCAGGCGCTTCGTGAAATGGTTCAAATCGCCATTTAGAGGCATGGGGTACGATATTGCCGACGCCGCAAAGCAGAATGCATATGCACGGCCCTCCGATGCAGGCGGTCTGCCCATCCCCTTCAGAATTGCGTAGAAGCTGGGTAGTTTCGCAGCCAAAGGATCTATGGCATTGTTAACTATGACTTGCAACGTGGCAAAGCTCCCTCACGGTGAAGTGCCAAGATCTGAGGAGCCCAAGATGGAAAGTCCTGCGAGCCGCAAAGAGCTTTATCCGCTTTCGATTCTGCGAGGGCATATCGCTTCCATGTCGAAAAGTCCGTGGCATCGGACTCTACAGCGAATTGGAAAGTGGCATCACGCCGGTTTTTGAACCATTCCTTGACGACAGTCCAATCTATGCAGGCGTCGCGAAAGTAATGATTCACTCGGGACAAACATTGTAAAGAGTCGTATGAAGCTGTGTACGACGCAATTTTGCGGATGAGTTCGATTGGCAGATCACCGAACCCAGTGGCCATAACTAGTTGTGGTTCGCAGAAGATGACTCAAAAAGGGACCAACAGCAACCAGTCGATGGCGTTACTGAAGAAGCTTCCCTCACCTCGCGTGTATGCTGGACTGTACGTACAATCGTTAATGAAGAGGGCTCTTTCAAGCCCGTGTGCATGCCCAGAAGCCCGGAGAGCGATGGTTGAAGAGGCTTCCTTCAACCTCATGTATACGCTCCGAAGGCTATAGAGTAGTCGATGACTCTAACTGCAAGCATTAGGAAGGACCAGTAAGGAGAGCGTAATTCTTATTCGAAAAAGGGACGCATTTTGTTTCCCATCAAGAAAGCAATTGGGGAAAGACATCCCTTGAGGCCTGCAGGGTACAAGTGAAGCCTAGGAACCCCTGTCCTGGTCTCCCGTTCGGCTTGGCAGGACCCTGATGGATCAAGATGAATGTCGCCTTGCGTTGAAAAATGACGCCGCTCCCACCAAGCAGCCACGCATCTGCCTTCTCCACAACATGTCCGCCTCATTAGCACCAGAATGCAACGAAGCCAAGGAGTACTTCTTCCTCCCTTCATCTCGACCAGCTCACGAAGCTGACTACTCTCAGGCGCTACGACACCTGCTTCCTAAACTGGTATTCCGAGAGCACGTCTTCCGCCTGACAATCACACCATCACTATTTACTCTTACATTATCGCTCATACGCCTCCTTTTGTTCTCGATGCCTGCTCCTAACATATCTCTTATTTAGAGTTCCTTCGCGGTAACGCCACGCACGACGAGTGCGAGCCGCTATTCAGGTCGTACAAGGCGTGCTTAAGCGTACATCCTCCAAGCCTTCCTTCCTCCGTCTCCTACCATCGAAGCTATGGCACGACTGACAGCTTCGAACAGAAAGCCCTTAAAGACAAAGGTCTCGACAAGATGATCCACGAAGCACGCACCGACAATCGAGACAACGACGCCGAGCACCTGCGGCCATCAGGTTGATGCCTTGCCACGGCCGTGCATCCGGTTTCCTCTTCTCCGATACTGTACTTTATACAACATAGAATAAGCATGGCGACGGCGTTCGGGCTCATAGAAAGAGTAGAAGGAGGACACGGGTGGGCTTCTCCGCTTCACGTCCTTACGATGGTTAAATTTTGTGGCTTCTCTC